TATGTATTGCAATAAACTGGCCTCAGGCTTGAGTCTGTGAACTAAAATCAATGCGTGGGTGACTTTTTCCACGACACTCTGAAAGCACTTTAATTTTATTTGAGAGAACCAACTATAAACCTAGGCCTCCAGTATGGGAGAGAAAAAAGGAATGGGGGCCTGATAGACAGCCAGCTATTTTATTCCATGACACTAAAGAGAGGGACTCAGCTGAGACACTTGATTCTTTTTATTTTCCTTTTGGTTAGCATATCCTGAGGGCAATAATTTTTCCAAACTGAGTGAGATCATCTTTGGCCTGTGAAATCATTAACTGCATGAAACTCCAGTGATGATCCATATCACTGTGCAAGAGCACTAACATTAATTACTCTAATCCTGTCATTTCCAATGAAATATTCAAACGGGAGAAACTTAGTACTTACATTAGTTCTCTTGTTCTTGTACAGGATTTCATAATGCAGGAGTTATTTAAACTTTCTAATGTTTGCCAAGGTCTTCGTTACCATGAAAATTACTGGTTTGGACTGTCATATGACACAGCCATTAAGAAGTGGGTGTGGGAGGATGGCACCACTTTATCCTCTCATCTGTAAGTATCTCTTGGCATTTTAACCCATGTTTGCAGTAGGATTAAAGGTATCTGCCTTAAATGAAATGTGAAATCTGACTTTGCATTCCAGGTTTCAAATCCCAGAAAATAATTATAAATTTTATCGGAATGGGGTTTGTCCTTATTTTCAAGGTGAAAAAGTCCTTGCTGGAGATTGTTGGCAATTGGGATATACTATCTGTGAGAAAAGAGGCGGATTTAGTGCCTGACTGGATTAAGACATCAAGAAAAGAAGATGAAGCAGAATGGAACAAAGATAAGTGTACCCAGAACTTTGAGTTTATAAGAGACTGGTCCCTTGGGCTTTTTCAAAACAATATATATTGTTATGTACAATTTTATTAAACAAAACTGCTTTTAATGATTGGGGCAAATATTGATTGATTAGGAATGTGGAGCAGCAGCCTCATTTGATACACCACATCCTTGGGAATGTTCCTCATCTGGTCAAACTTCTCCCACAAGCCTGAATAAAGGACAGATTCAGCTCTTAGTTACACAGGGGTAAAATGGTAGTAACTCCTTTGAAGCCAATGGAGTTACTCCTGATTTACACCTCTGTAAATGAGAGCAGAATCTCTCAGTTCAGAATCACAGGAAGCTGAACACAAGCACACTAAAGAGGAGTTTCATCTCTAGAACTGATTTTAAAGCAAAAGAAGAGTTTTTATGCACACTAAAATTTATTTGGCTTGTCATTCCTACATGCCTCCTCTTATCATTTTTTAGAGCTTTGAGCTCAAACCAGTGATTTGAACCAGATCTGAATTCCTGTGAAGTTTGGGAAGTTCTGACCTGGATATGAATTCCACAGCTTGGGCCTATCTCTCATTATTTTAAACAACTGTTTGATATAGTCTGTCTCTCTCCCTTCCAGCATGGTTCTTCCTGCTGCTGGAGCTTGGAGTGATGTCAGAATATTACTATATAGTAGGAAATGAAAGGACTGAGACATAAAAAGCTCAGCTTTATGACTTCACTGCAAGATGAGATTAGATGGGCTGGGAAGCAGCAAGCCCTCTAGACCTAAAGGGTCACATTCCATTCACAAACCAATACAATCTCATGGGCCTCTTCTAAATGCAGAAAGAGAGTGACTTAAACACTTCTTGGGACCACATTTATAATTAGGGCCCTACCAAATTCACAGTCCATTTTTGCAAATTTCATGGTCATAGCAGTTTTAAAAACTTGAATTTCGTGGTTTCAGATATTGAAATCTTAAATTTCATGGTGTTGGAACAAAGCATGAATATGTATTTTAAAATGGCAAAATATAAACATGTAAAGCTCTTAAGTCAATGTTTCTCAAACTGGGGGTCCCGACCCAAAAGGAGGTTTGGGGGGGGGGAGTGTTGCAAGGTTATTGTAGGAGGAGTCACAGAATTGCCACCCTGACTTCTGTGCTGCCTTCACAGCTAGGTGGCCAGAGAGCAGCAGCTGCTGGCTGGGTACCCAGCTCTGAAAGCAGCACCACCGCCAGCAGCAGCACAAAAGTAAGGGCGGCAATACCATACCATGTGGTGTTCTGCCTCTTAATCCTCCCCCCTTCAGCAAATGGGATTGGAGACACTTTCCACCTCCAGGAACATCTGTCACCATTTATGACAGTGTAAGATGGCAGGCATTCTTTAGTGGACATTTACACTGGCAGTGAATCTAGCCCTTATTCTGGCAATCAGCCACCATAGTGAGAAAAATTAGAAAACCACGTGAATAAATAGTTAATGGACTTTATAATGTCTTTCATATAAAAAATTTCAAATATGTATTTTCCAGCCTAAATTACTTTTATTTCCAGTTAAGGAAAACAACAAATAGACAAAGAACTATAGAGTGTATGAGAGAGAGAAAGAGAAAAAACAGTGACTCTGTAATATTTTGCATCTGAAATAAGCTGCTCTACAAAAATGGAAAAAAGTCCATAGCACTGCTGCCTTCCCGCCCCCCTCTGGCTAATAAATGCCTCGTATTCAAATAGACTACAGAATCCTAACACCTCCTTATGCATGTGTGTGGGTACACACACACACACACACACACACCACATTTTTCTTTGAGAATTTCCCTCAGCATGAATATTCCTCTTCAACAGAACTGGTATGGTAGAAGCTTCACTTTAGTTAAATCTACTGGCAACTGCCAGGTTCTCTTTGTAATGCTGTACTTATTTTGCCTTTTCTACTCTCAAATAAATACAAATAAAACCCATGCAAAACGTCTTTTCTGTGGTGTTTGTTGTTTATCAAATTTGCCATTCTGTGCTAAGAATTTTCATCTATATTTTTGTAAATTTTCCAAGATTATGTACATTTTTAGCTGACCAAAGCCTCTCATGCACCTGGAGTTTTCTAGCACCGTGAACACCTCAGTTGATACAAAAGACAAACCAGTATTTTAGCAAAGTGAATCCCAAGGTGGTCAGGCAATTCAAATTGAAACTCTCTCTTGTAAAGATACATATGTCCACCCCCGCAGAGCTTTGGTGAGAAATACAGCACATGTGCAAGCCAGTTACCACTTCCTATGTGGTGTCAGCCAAAGAAGGCACATAAGCGTCCAGTTCATATACATGATATCTGCAACACACCCAGTGTAGGACACTGCTATAGGGTGATATGCTGTTCTTTTTCTCCCCTTTAAAAATTCTCTTGTTTGAGAAAGAAAGCCCTACAAGATAGAGTTTGAACAGTCATCACCTTAGGATCTCACTTTGGGAAAGCAAAATACTTCATTGCATCTTAAGAAATAAAAGTATTGACCCAAAGTGTATTGATGGACCCTAGCCAGCTACCAAAGAACTGTGACCTGGATTCACAAAAGGTCCTTAGATGTTGTGATGCTCATTGCAACCTCACTTTTGGGCACCTAAGAATACACAGGAACACACTGTGATACACATGCACACTGAGTTAGGTGTCTAGGCTCCTTATACAAGGAATGGGGAGAGACAGGCAGAATGGGATTCAGAGAAGCCAGCACACTAGGCAGGGATGTGTCCTAAGCCCCACCCCACTCAGGGAGATAGGAGCCTGAGTCCAGACTGCACAGAGGTGCTTAGCCCTGATAACGATTCATGCATAGGAACCCCTGTCCTGGAGGCAGTCAGCTTAGGCATGTAAACCACTTCTTGTGAGAATGAGTTAGTCAGGTGCAAATGGAGTAGAAGGTGGTGGTACCTACCTCTAACCAGGGGTTAGAGCACTTGTCTAGGATGTGGGAGAACCAGGTTTAATTTCTCTCCCCCACTTGATAGGGAGAAAGAATTAACACCAGGCTCTCCCACCACTCGGGACAGTATGCTCTAATCATGGGGTTAAAGGTTGTTTTTATATTCACCTTCCTCGATCTCTCCTGTTGAAGTTGTCCCAGTCTGGATAAATAATTAAAAAGTGACTGGAGCAGGGGGACTAGACCCTAGGTCTCCCCCTCCCAGGTGAGTGTCCTAACCTCTGGACTAGAGTCACTGTCTCAGTATTTAAAGTTATTTTACTGTGTCTAAATACTTAAATAATCAATGGGACAGGAAGAGAATGGGTGCAGGGTCAAGTTCACCTGTTCCACTCACTCTTTAATTATTTATCCAAACTGGAACAACTTCATCAGGAGAGGCAGAAGAAGCCTCACATCAGACTACTATGCCACAAGAAATATAATCCCAGCAAAGGATGTTTTCATGGTACGCCCAGCTCCACTGAAAACAGAAAGCTGTGGCCACCTCATGTGAAAAGTCTGTTTGCTCAGGGTCTGAGTCTGCATCTTTTGAAGTGAATGGTAAAAAATGCCACTGACTTCAAGACTAGCAGCCCTCAAGCTTTGTAAAAGTTTTGATGCCTATTAAGAAAAAAGCCCACAAGCCCCCAGATATTTTCAGACAAGATTTATATGTCACTCATTATAAAATAGACTATAGAGCAGGCAAAATAATCCATATGATTATTCTAATACATTTATCCCTGTTCCATGCAGACTCTTCTGAGGTGCAGGTGGCATGGTGAAAAACAGACTTAGCCCTTCTCTCCACTGGGATGTTAGTCACTAGTGTAGTTGCCATGTGGCAAATTACTAGTGTAGAAACAACTGACATTAGTGTAGTGAGGTTTGCTCTGGGACAGCTTCCCCTCAGCTGGAGTAAGCTTCCCCAATGCAAATCACACTGAACCAGTATAGCTCACTAATGCAGCTATACTGGTGACTAAAACCCTAGTATAAACAAGGCCTGAAATTCACAGTAAAATGACATGCACTTGAACATGCCCCGAGCAAAGGGTGCCATATAAAGTATAATATCCAAAGCCTCTGTCACCACTAAATCTTGACTTCAAATCCAGCAGCTCGTTGTTATTCACAGAGTATCTATGCTGTCACAACATTAAGTCAAAATAGCTATGTGATCATCAATTTATTCACACAGCATATAAGGCATTGCCACATTTGTCACAGAGTAGCCATGTCTGCTATTCACACAGCAGATGATATCACCACCATGTAATTGTCACAATACTCTACCATCACCTTTTATTCTTACCCTATCCATGTAATTTCCATATTGTTTTCATATTAGCTGTGTCATGAGAGTAACCAGATGTATTTTACAATGATAAGGTAACATCTCAAAAAACTAAAGCAATTACTCCAGGAGCTAGAGTCTGAAAGGATAAATGTACAAGAAAATAAATTGCTCTGCATCACTTGGGGAGAACAAACGCTCATCAGATGCCTTCCCTGACAGTGTGATCTCAGTGAGGACTTCTCCCTGAGATGGTGGGATGGGAGCTTTTACCCTTGAGCAACCCTTTGATACCTCAGCCACCACTCACCAGGGGCAGCAGGTTTGTATAATTTTTGGTGGTGCCCAGAACGGGTCCAAATCCCCCCCTCCCCCAAGGCTCTGGAAGGTAGTTTGGGTGTGGGAGGGGGTTGGGGGTGCAAGTTCTGGGAGAGAGTTTGGGTGCAGGAGTGGTGCAGGCTCTGGGAGGGAGTTTGGATGCAGGAGGGGGTTTGGGGTGCAGACTCTGGGAGGAAGTTTAGGTGTGGGAAGGGTACGGGTTCTGGGAGGGGGTTTGAGTGCTGGGTGCGGACTCTGGGCTGGGACAGGTGGTTGGGGTGCAGAAAGGGTGTGGGAGGGGGGTTGGGATGCTGGGTGTGGGCTCCGGGCTGGGACGGGGTTGGGGTGTGGGAGGGGGTGCTGGGTGTGGGAGGGGGTTTGGGTGCTGGGTCAAGGCTCTGGGCTGGGACAGAGCAATGGGGTGCGGGAGCAGGTGCGGGGTGTGGGGCTGGGCCGGGGATTAGGAGTTTGGGATGCAGCAGGAAGGCTGCCCAGGGGCTGGGGGCAAGAGAGGAGGACTCCCCCCAGCCCTCTCCGTGCTGGCAGCAGTGAGTTCTGGGGGAGGGAGGGCCCCTCCTGGCCCCCCCAGCATGACACTCACCGAAGCCCCCCCAGGCTGCTGCTCAGAAGGTCCAGCCAGGATAAGCCCCTCCCCCCTCAGAGTTGACTTGGAGTCTCCTGCTGGGGTGGGGGGACTGCCATGTGCCTCCTCCCTCTGCAGGCGCAGCAGCTGCCTTAGTCTGCCCCCAGCGCTGCTCCCTTGTAGCCGGCAGCAGCCGGAGAGGAAGTGCAATGTGGAGCTGCAGGGGGAAGCCACCCGCTGCCCAGGGCAGGCAGGGACGCTCTGGGGGAGGCACGCGGGGGCAGCAGGTGGGGCCAGGGGACGCTCAAGGGAGACGTGTGGGGGTGGCAGGCAGGGCCGAGGGAGAGACCAGGCCCCGAACATTGGTGGAGCTGGGCCCCCCAGGCCCTGAATTTGCTGGAGCCTGGGCACCATGGGCCCATACAACTCGCCAACCCTGCCACTCGCCACAAAACAAGACACATTCCTCCATCAAGTGGTACATCCTGCATTCCTGCATCAAGTGGTACGTTAATATAGCTATTTCTGCTGCATCCCTTAACATTCAAGGTATTTCATTCTATCAGAATACACAGTGTTCACTATTTTGCAGTTGGTTATGGCATAAAGCACCTAAGAGGTCCATCCATGGGGTGGAATGTTTAAAAGCAATGTTACCCTTCATCTGAATGGGCCCTCAGTTATAGAGGAGTTAGAGATGGAAAAGACTTATTTGGTATCATCTAATCCATCCACTTTCTTATCTCTAGGGCCACTCCAAGATTGTGTCCTATAGCATATTCTTCAGGGCATCATCCAATTCTTCTTTTAAAATGTTCAAGCAACGGCTCTTCCAACACTTCCTTGGAGGGGAATGGGGTGGGGGGTGTGGAATGGGAGGGGGGGGTAGGATGACTTCCAAAAATCCTCACAGTTAGGAAATGGTTCTTGATATCCATCTGTAATTTCCCTTCATTCATTTTCATCCAGCTTCCTTCCACTTATATGCTTCGGAACCAAAGCAATCCCTTTCCATCCATGGTATCCACCTCTTGTAAATCCTTGTAGACAGCTTTCAGTCCCGTCCACCTAGTTGCCATTGTTGCAGGTTGAAGCCCTCTCTTCACATGTATGACTGGAAAAAGCAGCAAAAGTGGGGAGTCATGGGTGACAAGACTTTTTACCACCCCCACCCCCTTCTCCCTATGGTGGTACTGGAATGCTTCCTTGTCAAAGACTTCATTCACTCAAAGCTGTACAACTTCATAACTGAACCTTGAGGCCACCTTCATAACCACCTTGAGGTCACTCAGAATGATTGTTTCTGTTTGGTTGGTCCCCTTCAGTGTAGCCAGTCATAATGTAGACAGGCGTTTGAGTGGTGCAGGATATATTTCTCAATTTCAAGGTGGTGAGTTGGGAGTCCCTTCTGGATTCTAGTGTTTATTTCAGAACTTCCCACCCTCTTAACTACATTCTGTATTAAAAAAAAAATAGAGGAACCCCTCCCAATACACACTTCATTCTGAGTTCCAGAGGGGTCAGCCCCTTGTATCCCCAAAGAGGGGCAAAGTCAGAGATCCAGGCCTTCCCAGTACACAGAGGCATGCTTCAGAGCACAGTGTAGTCCCTGGTGATACTCCCCAAATCAACGCCAGCCACATCAGCATATAGTTCAGGCACCACCAGCTCAGGCACCTGGAGCACCACTTGGTCATTGCTGCTCTTGGCTGCTGTTTGCAGGCGCTTGATCAGCTCTGCGGGTGACGGCCGGTTCGTCGCACTCCACCGCCAGCAGTACTTCATGATACCATACCTGTAAGACAGAGGAGTGGTGAGAAGCCAGGAATGAGGCACAAGGACAAAATTATGCTACAAAGGAATCCCCACCCCTCACTGAAAACTCTGGAGACCACACCTTGATGTCACCTACATACACAGCTAGCATAAGGGACCATTGAAATCTGCACACTTGCTAGTATTAGAATTTATCTATGAAAATGGAATGGGGGAGGAGGGGTCATGTTCGTTAAGTCATACAACTGCCTTCCTTATTGAAAGTGCTACCAGGACTCCTTGTTGGATATCCAGGAGCTCTTTTGTCCAGGACTGATGTCAGCACAGGAGGTACTGTTCCACTAGGATTACTCATTCATTTAAGGGAGAATTCCCGTATTTCCAGGGGGAATGGACAAGTTATCATCAAGGAGACTCCTGTACCATTTGGAAGACCTGATCACCGCTTTCACATTTCCTCTCATTTCTGAGAGTCAAGAAAACCAGGTTCAGATTGGGGTAGACCCAGATGGAACAACAGCACAGCAGGACAGATGGGGTATCAAAGTGGCAAGAAGAAACTTCAAGAGAAGGAAAGAGACTTTTGGGCAGTCAAAGTTACATACAGTAGAGTCCCAAAGAGATTAAAGAGGTCTATTAGAGCACATCTAGTCCAGCCTCCCATATCTCCCTAGGGAATAAATGATTGCTACCTAGTCTATTCTCCAGGCTTTTTTTGAGTCCTAGTTTTAAGTGTCCCAAGTGACTGGCCTCCTCTATTTCCTTCCTTCCTAGTCTCATAGGGTGTGATTTTTAAAGGTATTTAGGCACCTAACTCTCATTGAAATCTATGAGAGTTAGGCACCTACATATCTTTTTTTTTAATCTGTTCCATAGTCCCTCACTGTTATATGTTCCCCGATATCCAGCCTCAACTTTCCCTTTACTCACTTTCATCCAGTTTAGCCCTTGCAATACTCTCTTTTACCAGTACCAAAGTAAATAACTTAGCTCCCTTATTATTTACATCCTACAAATATTCTTGTCCTTTCTATCCCCCTCAGATATAAGAACATAAGAACGGCAAAATTGGGTCAGACCAATGGTCCATCTTCTGACAATGGCCAATGCCAGATGCTTCAAAAGGAGTGAACAGAACAAGGCAATTATCAAGTGATCCATCTCCTGTCACTCAGTCCCAGCTTCTAGCAGTCAGAGGTTTAGGGGTTGCATCTCTGACCATCTTGGCTAATACCTATTGGTGGACCTATCCTCCATGAACTTACCTAATTATTTTTTTAACTCAGTCATACTTTTGGCCTTCACAACATCCCCTGTCAATGAGTTCCAGTTTGACTGTGCATTGTGTGAAAAAGTAGTTCACTATGTCTGTTTTAAACCTGCTGCCTATTAATTTCCTTGGGTGACCCCTGGTTTTTGTGTTATGTGAAGGGGTAAATAACACTTCTTTATTCACTTTCTTCACACCATTCACAATTGTACAGACTTCTATCATATCCCCCCCTTAGTCATCTCTTTTCCAAGATGAGCAGTCCCAGGGTTTTTAATCTCTTCTCATATGGAAGCTATACCCCTAAGCATTTCTGTTGCCTTTCTTTGTACTCTTTCCAGTTCTAATATATCTTTTCTGAGAAGGGGCAACCAGAACTGCACACAACATGGAAGGTGTGGCCATACCAAGTATTTATATAGTGGAATTATGATATTTTCTGTCTTATATATCCCTTTCCTAATAGTTCCTAATCTCTCTATTCAAATCTTTCCTTCACTCCCTTAATCACTCTCAGAATTCCTCACTAGTCTGTCAACATCTTTCTGGTAGTGAAGTGCTCAGATATAGACTGAGACTGGAAAAAAGAAGAAAACTCTCAGGAAATAGTAGCAAGGACAGTGTGCGATCTTTGAGGGTAAGTGTAAATACTGTAAAACAGTGGTGCGCAAACTGGGGGGGGGGGGGGCAGTGCCCGTCTGGGGAAGGGGGTGCAAGAGGTTCCCTGAGAGGAGCACAAAGAAACTGGGATCCCGTGGGTCCCACCGGACCTGCTGCCATAATATCAGAAGCAGGGAACAGAGTGGGTATTGCAAGATGGGTGTGGAATTAATAAAATAGTCCTCCCATGCCACAAACAACATGAATGCCCTGGCCAGCAGACGCCGCTCTCCTGCGCCCAGCTCTAAAGACAGCACCATCGCCAGCAACAGTGCAGAAGTAAGGGATTACTTCAGATTACAAGTAATGGGGGGAAGACAAATCCCATGAATGGTAAGAGGGGCGCGACTGGAAAAATTTGCTAAACCGAGGCTGTACGAGCTTCTCCATGCAGCTCTGAGCGGGAGCAGAGTATGAGCCCCACCACTCAGATCAGGTTAGAAGAGGAAGCCCCTTACATAGCTGGCTGGCAGGTGGAGGGCCTCTTCATGACCTTCCATCTCTGAAGGTGTTGTAGGATATCAGAAGGTGGCACCTCAGGAAATGGTGGAGCCCCTGGAAGAGAAAAGTGAACAACAAAAGATAAAACTATCAGGGAAAATGATTTCCAGGTTCCAGCTTCTTCATGAGGCCTCTACTCTTTCCTACCACAAATAAACCAGTGAGGGTGTGATGCTAACTTTCCTTTCCCCTCAGAAAAATGCTGAGTGATGAGTCATGAAAGGTTAACACCTGGTGGCTGGCCAGGGTAATGGACAGAGCAAAAGTAACATCTGTAGCTAGATTAGGGTGGCCCTTTGTCCAGATTTTTCCAGGATGAATGATTCCTTTAACGTCGCTGTCCCGGATGAAATGGTTCGGATGCCCCAGTTTTTTGCCACTCAGAAGTGACAGCCCTAAGCCACAGTGTGGAATTGTGCAGCATAAAGAGGCCAGATGGAGTGTGGGAAAAGGAAGGTGAGGAATAAGGGTGACACACTGTGGCCACACACAGGAACTGCAGTCTTTTACTCCCTTAAATTCTTTATTCTTTTTTGGTCTTTCCTATCTCTCTCTTCTTCCCATGTTTGTCAGGCCAGAAAAAGAGAGGCACATTTTTAGATATATAAGTTGCATCCTTATTTGGGGAATATGAAGATAACTGCTGGAGAAGCCCCTTTAAAAATGTGCTTAATATCAGAAATGGAATCTGCAGGGATGAGATAGCACAGAGTTTAAAGAATGGGATATGGAACCTTTCATTTCTAGGGCAATGTTTGCAGACTAACTAGGGGGACTGGATGACTCAGGAAGAGTGTGGAATAGGGTACAGAGCCTTTCTTTTTTAAGTTATCTGACACTAGATAAGTAAATGCAGAAAGATATTCTCATCTGAAGGCTGTTGTGTTCTCTCTGTGAAATGAGTTGTAGAGGTCTCAGTCCAGTTCCTAGCAAAGAGGGGTGATCACATGACATAAAAGGCACCATGGCCATTTCCCACACACTCTTGATTCTGATGTTGCCTGAGCTGTCGCTTGACACTCCCTCCTTTCCCTAGGATTTTATTTTTTCTCCTTACCTAATGTGATCATCTCATAGAGTAAGATTCCAAAGGACCATCTGCAAGAAAACACAATGTCAGTTTCACTGGCAGCTCTTATTCCCATCTTTAGCCTGAAAGCAATTGAAAAAAAATCAAGGTAGTAATTTAAACATATGATAACAATGAGTGTGAGCTGGGGAGGTGAGCAGAGGGAGAAAGGGGCGAGCCGCCAGGTGGAGCTCCATGCTGGAAGCAAGGGTGAGCCCTACAGTGGAGTTTTGATCTGGGGATCAGAACAAAGTGTTGTGTGAGGAACTGAAAGTGATAGATAAGATTTGAAAGCCAGATATAGTTTCACCCCAGAACAAACCATACATGTCTGACTTGATGCTGGGAGGTTTCATTAATAGCCGCTCTGGTGCCTGCCACTTGAGTGGCACAATCTGTGTGACACAGCTGGTGCCATAGGTGTGGGTTTCATAGGCCAGGCCCAGCCCACAGAGCTTGGCTGTGAAGTCAGACTGGATCAGGACATTTCTCGCTGCCACATCCCCATGGAACAGCTTCTTCTGCTGGAGAAACTCCTGGCAAGTTGGAAAAAGGGGAAGAGTCAGTTGTTTTTCTTTTTAACTGACTGAAAAAATCAATTAATTTATGCCCTTTGCCCCCACCAATGGTTCATGCACCACAGTGACCTGGGTCCCTGGCAGCCAAACATGTGGTGAGTGTACCTGGAACACCTACATAATACCACAAGGAGCTTTTACCAGAGGCATATTCTCATTGGTTAGGCCAAGAAGTTCCAATACCACGCAAAGACCTATCATGCTTCCCTCAGCCCTTTGGCCTTTCATGCAAAATTCCTAAGGAAACTCACTTCAGCTACCACCACTGAAAGCAGCCACCTATAGTGAATATCCACCAGCAGGGGCAACACCTAATCCACCGAGGGGGCGTGAGAAAATCCACCAATAGAGATCCTTGCTCCTACTAAAGGGAAAATCTACCAGTCAGGTGATACCCACTCCTACTGCTAAAGAGGACATTCTATTCCTAAAAGAGTGAAAATCACTAATTGAGAGACCGTCCATTGAGAGGGAACATCTGCTCTAACTAGTGAGAAGTGGGAGGGCGAATCCATCCAGTGAGGGAACCCAGTCCTGCTGAAAGGGAAAATCCAACAGTGGGGGAACCCATTGCCTCCTGTCTTTTCCCTGTTACTCTTGTGTTTGCTTCCCCCTTTCTTTGCTATAACATTTTCACTCATGAAACAGAAGGGCATTTGGAGTTTTTCTAATAATATTCTGTTCAGCTTTATTATTGTATTTGTGAGATTCACAAACCTTTTTCTAGCTGGGTTAAATATTTGTATTCCAGTAGTGCCAAAAGGCCTCAACTAAGATCAGGCCCCATTGTGCAAGGCACTGTACAAATACATAGTAAGAGAAACCCCTGCTCCCAAAAAGCTTACAGTCTAAATAGAAACAGATTATTATCCCCATTTTACAGACAGGTGACTGAGACACACAGAGCTTAAGTGACTTGCCTAAATTTGTGACAAAGCTGGCCACTGAACATTGATGTTTTGAGTTTTTGTCCAGTGCCTTAACCATACTACCATCCTTCCTTTATTTTTATCTCTTCTGTTTCTTGAGAACTTCCATTTTAAACTACAGTTTTTCTAATTAAATGTCAGCTTGTGCTACTACGTCAGGTAAACAATACAGATTCTTGAATGGAAGTAATTCCTGGCCTGTTTCAAGGATTAATAAAAACAGGCAGTAACAGTGTCTTATCAAATCTAGGAGGAACTAAAACCATTTTTGCTTCCTATTTAAATCTAGCAAACGTAATTTTTAGTGGATTCTAAATTTGAAAGAATAGCGTTCCCCAGGTTGGACTCTGATGTTAGAGTGGGTTTCTGGCTCTTTCTTTGTCTCTCCTATCATGATAAATGAATCAAGATGCAGCTACATCAGACTTACCAAGGCAGCTGCAACCTGCTGCCCGACTTTATATACCTGCCTCTCCGTGAGGTCATACGGGATACCATCCATGGTCATTACATCCTAGAGAAAGAGAAGCAGAAAGCACATCAAATAAATGCCACAGTAGAGCAAAAGAGGGGGAATGCTGCTTCTTTCTAATGAGATTCTGATTTCAGCAAATGGCACCATCTAACCCTTCCATCCTCCTACAGGCATCACTCTCCTTACGTGCCCCACGGCAAATTGGCATTATTGGCCCTGCTTGAGATAGTTATTCTTTATAAACATTTATAATGCTCAGGTATTGCATCAAAAAACAAACATGGAAGAGGTAAAAAGGTGAATGGTTAGACAATTGAAGGGTAGGCGCTGTGTAGGAGGAGTGGATGGCTGGTGGGGTAGGTGAGTAATGTAGTGGGCACAGCTTGTGGGTAAGCGGCAAGGAAGGGGAAATGTGACGGGAGGGGAATGACTAGGTGGAAATATACATACATAAAAAAGCAAGAGTTGTATTGTGAATGGATGGATGATTAGAGAAGTCTATGGATGGATGGATTAAAAGAACTACACATGATAAAGATATCTTCTTAAATAGATGTATGTAAGAGACATGGACAGAGGTGGAGGATAGACATGATAACTGGTCCGGCATTCACTTCCTCAGACTCACCCTGCGGCAGGTCCACAAGAAGTTCAGGAGGACCCCATGGGACACATCCTCCAGGATCATATAAAGGGGCAGCTGGACTACACAACATCCTATCAGTTCAACCATGTTATCATGATGACCAAGGGACTGATGGAACTTAATCCTTCCCAGGAAATCCTTCACCTCACTGGGTCCAGCAGTGTCTGAAAGTACCAGAGAAAAAGACAGTATCACCACAGGGAGGCAAAGAAGAGCAAAGATCCTATTCAATATTCTCAACACAGAATCAAAGAATGATAGGACTGGATGGGACCTCAAGAAGTCATCTAGTCCAGTCCCCTGCACTCATGGCAGGACTAAGCATTATTTAGACGATGCAATACAACCTCCTTTAACATGCATATATACTGCTTGTGACTAAACCCTGCTAAGACCAAAGTTTAACCATGACTAGCTGACATGATGATGAACACTACTTGTGCTTGTCTACAGTGAATGCAAAATCATGGTCAGCATCTTGTCATCTCACCTCTTTACAGGCATGTTCAGATATGATCAAATTCTGTAGTGAAGTCAAAGCCATAGAGAAAGATTGAGAGGTACACACAGAGAGAGGAATCACTGGGGGGATGCACACAGGAAAGCAGGGTAGCTCACAGCAGAGAAAGGGGCAGCCCCTTGTGCAACTGCTAAGAAAGAAAATGGACTCAGAGCTAGAGAATGGGGAATTTTTAGTGGATTCACACTAGTGGGTAACAGAGAAGTGTATACAAATGGAGCACTCCTGCCACCAATGTTACCCTGTAAGGCTTTCAGGATGACTGTCTTAGTCTTCCCAGGGTTCCCAGTCTCCAATTCCGCTCTGTAGATTCCCCCAAAACTGCCATTGTGTATCAGCTCCAAGGACCCTGGTATAAGTCTGTCTTGTGGTATTTCCAGTTCCTTCAGAGTCAAGGCTGCAGATCTTAGTAGACTCTCCACAGTTGTCTCACTCAGCTGGATGTAGGTGTTCTCTGACTCACTGTGTTCCTTCTGGTTCTTGTCCTTTGCTGGCAATGGGGCAACAGCTGTTACAAAAATAAAAGCCAAATGAGATATAAGTGTTTGGGGGATGAATTTTCCCCTTTTACATTTTGCCACTGGCCATGAACTGTTCCCTTTGGCTCTATTATGATTTTCGGAATCATGGATGGGGAAGTGTTATTTGGTCTCAGGTAGGCCAGCCCATAAGGAGACAGAGGACTTTGCTTCCCCAGGACTCCCACCCAACCTGTCTGAGAGGCAGGAGAAACTGAGACCTGAAATCTATGGTATATGTAACTACGAAACCCTTGTTTTCTGGGTACTGCATCTTTCCATGTATAAGAACTCTGCCTGCGTGTAGATACAGCAGCCATTTTGTTCTCAGAATTGCTGTAGCTTGTTACAGAGAAGAGACACACAGTGTCCTTAGAGACTTTACTTTCGTTCTTTCTTAATTCCTTTAATATATACCAATTAATAAATACCAATTCACTTTAGACTGGAAGTACTTGTTCCGCTCTTTGTGCATGGATACAAAACAAGCTCAAATCTGGGTTTTTTGCTTTAGCCACTTTGCAATGCACCCCAACTCTGTTGTGTTACCAGCCACAACTGAGTGGACTCCTGGGAATTGGCCACTATAACTGGGAATCAAATCTGTGATACTCACACAGCATATGCCAGCCAATCCAGCCTCATAGTGCTCCTAGCCATAGGACGCCATGACTGGAAACTGAACCTGGATCCACTGCAGTGCTGATTATTAACCTCCAGATGGCACTGTGGCCAGCCTACACTGGCCCTGAAGGAAGTGAGAGACTGCAGCTTGAAACCATGTCCCCTGCATGATAGGTCTCAAGTGATTTTACCACTATGCCAGCTAACTCTACTCAGAGCAGGGTGAGATGACACAATGGTCTAAGTACCTGAGTCTTCTCTATGCTACAACCTTCACCATTGCTACCACTGGTGGAGCTGTACCACTGGTGAACTAGAGGTCCCAATTTTCCTAATGTAGACAAGGCCATTGAGTACCAAGCTCAGGCTCTTCAGTTCTCCTAGTCTCTGACAGCCCTGGGGGTGGGAATGAGAGACTTGCCATTGAACCCAGCTCTCTCCCCTTTGTTACCTTGGCGCCTGGGCAGTTGCTGTTGCTTCGACCTCCAGCTCCGATAGCGGAGCCAAAGGATCACACCTAACAGGATGACAAAGACACCCACTAGGAAGACAGGGATGATGATCACTTCAGTCTGGTACTCACGCACAACTGTCAATGGAAAGAGAAAACAGGAAACAAGGAGTAGTCTTTACTGCTCAGTGAAATCACAGTGTGTACAACACTCCCACACTGAACAGAGTCTGTACAACACCATAACAATAGTCCATTCTAGTAATTTTCAACATGAAGGAGCTATCTATCCATGCTGTGCTCATTGCAGTAGTATCTAAGTACCTTATCAACTGCTAGCCTGATTTCCAGAGGGGCTGACTATTTAAGACTCCCACTGAAGTCAAAGGGAGTTCTTCACCTCTGAATATCAGGCCACCTCTTTAGGTGCCTTTTGGTGGATGGGATCTCCTGGAGTCTCTCCCCCACCCACCCCCAGACCACAGTTTGGCTTGCTTCCTTCCTCTGACACTCACAGATTCCTACCCCTGCTTGGGGTATAAAGAGTCTCTCTCAAAAAATAACAACACACACACACCTTTCCCCCTCTCCAGGGACAGGGAAGACCAAACTAAAGAAAAGGGAAATACAAGACATTCAGTCTCATGGGCAAACCTTGGTCCCAGCTTATCTATAGGCATTTTATTGTCATGGTCAGGGGTAGAGTCCTTCCCTACACCCTCCCTCCAGCTTTTAGGTAAACATCCACTCTGTACCTGGTCCAGGCAATCCCAGGATCAATGACTGCCTCCCTCTTCACTAATCTATCCCTGTAATCAACTGTCTCTGAGGCACAATAATTTTCCCCAGTTACCAACCCTTGGACTGGGGTTCCCGTCTTAAGCTTCCCCCTCCAGGCACAACAAGTCTTGCAGATGTGTGGACGAACCCAGAAGAGTTTATTATCTTCTTCCTCAATAGGGTGAATGCATGACCTCCTCCACCGCCACATACTTGTATATGAAGACTGAAAGTGTTAGCCAGTACATTTAGGGATCACTCACCAATGAAATGCAGCTGGCTCTGGGGTGGAGCCTGGCAGCCATTCTATGTCAACAATGCTGTACAACAGTGTAATTGAGGTGAAGTGAATAACTTCTCCCATTAAAATACTGGGGGAGGGGGAGATATTAGGGCGGAAGAGTAAATTAACTGGTTTGGAATTTGGCCAGAATGCTGGGGTTAACATCCTTACTCTCTTGGGTCACAATACTCTGGGATGCTGCCATTCTCATATAAAGTGATAAGTACCTTCAACTCCCAATTAAATTAATAGGGGCTGATGGGGCTTGGCACCTATTAATATTGGTCCCTTGAAAAGTACCATGGGATCTTTAAAGACCACATGTGGTCAAGACCTCATCTATATGTCTCAACCAAAAGATGGTTTCCTGTAACCTCCTGCAGGGAATTGATTTCAGTAGTGATTCAGAAGGAAAAGACTCCCCTAATGAGTCATAAACAGCATTTCTTGCAGCATCTGGGTTTCCCTTGGTGGTCTGCCTATCTCAAGTATTTCTAAGGTATCCATTTTTTCTAGGCACTGTTCTAGCTAACTCTCCCATCAAATGCTGTCCAAGTCCAACCCTGCTTAAACCAGAACAGATAAGGCTGCCAAGCCTGCAGCTGCAGGGCATCCCAGTGAGAATGCTTCTGTGTTGTTTATTGCTTATACTCTAGTGCTACTGGGGTGAGTGCAACACTGATTTGGGATGACTCAGAGCTCTGTAATGATAATAATTTGACCCCCAAGTGGAATTAGTATACCTCCCTTTGAACTCTGGTCAGGGTGTTACATTGCTCCTCCTGTTTAACAGGAAATCTTCACCCATCATTCCCCTATCCTTTCCACCCAGCCATATAAGCCAGTGCTGGAAACATATTCTTTGTTCTCCACCCTGAGTGACAAAGCCAATACACTCAGCTAGAAAGGCAAAACGATGGGGGCAGGTGTGAAGAAGAGGTCGTGCATTGGGACTTACTGCAGGGGAGACCCAATCAAATCACTCTCTGGAGGTGAGGGTGGCTCAAAGTTGACTGAGCAGGTCCTGCTGCTTAGTTTATGAGACCTGGACACACAAAAGTAAAAGGCAAGGAAACAGTTGCCTTGAATCTTACCACATAACTTGTCACTGCTGTTGCATTCCAGTAGCATGCGTCTGAGTCTCCTTATGTCCCCTGCCATGATCAGCTCAGTGTGAGCATGTCCTTCACCGCTGGAATTTCCACTGCACAGATATGAAACATTACCATAAATACAGTGGCAGGACCAGATGGTTGCTGGGAAAGTGGGTGAGAAGCTATGCTATTCACCCTCTTTGTCATTGATTCTAATCCAGCCTCAGATTAGTGGGAGGAAGCAACTCAGAGAATCAGAGACTTGGAGAACTATGGACACCTAGGGGTTAATGGTCTAATATGGCATAGTCGGAATCAATTTCTGGTGATGGTATCTCAGTACAGGAGCAGAGGCTAGGTTTGTTCTTACTAAGCCTAGGTTTGTTCTGCAGTACCATGTGGGAGAGTCAGATACCTCTGATTCCTCAGGCAGGCACATGTGCACAAGTTAAGAGACATTAGTTCACTCATATTTTAAATTATCTGTGTAAATCACATTTCAGATGCTGGAATAACTCAGTCTTTTATCTCCAGGCCTATAAAACATCAGGTGCATATGCATAAGACACCACATCACACCATTCTGGCATTCCTGACCAGAGTGCTTGCACTATGTTATTGCATCATGAATATATACTAAGAAACAGCAGCTTTCTCATTAAGGTCTCCAATACTGATTCCATATTACAGACATAATCAGATCTGTAAGGAAACTTCATACATGTGATTCATTACACCTGTAATTCTCTCTAACGTTCATTACACCTGACATTCTGTGCAACATTCAAATATGCACCTTTACACCTGTAATTTCACGTACTCCCTAGGAGAGACACTTTACACCTGTAATTATGTACAGTGCCCCTTTATCTATGGAAATCTCTATAACTACCAATTGTTCACTCTTACATACATAGGATAGATTCACCAATACACACCAGTTGCTCTGTGATACTCTGGCATTGCAAAGCAGCTGTAAACCCTCTTTAACCATCCCAGTCATATGGATTTACAGCAGTTTTGCATTACTTGAGATGCGTAAAGCAGCCAGAAGGTACTGGTACATAATGCTGTGTAGTATCTAGGTGTGGCCATTACAGCTGCAAGTCTGTACAATATGCAGGGGTACAGTTTCATACCAATAATTCTGTTCATCATAGTTGTTTGGCTGTACATCCCACACTTTTCAAAGAGCAATTTACAAATATTTGAACCATCAAATAACATATGACAGCACACCTATAACTTCACAATATCATCTGTGCAACAGCGACATTTTCTACTGTACAACTCTGTTTTTTCTACTATACATATTTCACATTCTATCTGCCTTTAAATTGTCTCACCTGAACTCCAATGACAGGGTGATAGTATATACATTTGTGAAATACAGGCAGGTGACTATTTACCATGTCAGTGACAAACTCGCATCAGCTCTAATGCCAATATTAGTAAACATTTCCAGGTATGTGTCAGCTTATTGGTAAAACTATAAAACATATAGGTATATGTGTCATTTGGCATATCATGTTATGAGCCTTGCAAGATAACATAGCTGTAATTCCTACACATAGAGTGGGGTGAAAAATGAAAAATGTTTCTATTGTAAATAATGGGTTCTTTTGATTATTTATTGATTGAGACATCAATTGGTCAAGCTCAAATTTGGTTTACTAATCAAAGACTACAAAAACAACAAGAAGTCCAGTGGCTCCTTAAAGACTAACAGATTTATTTGGGCATAAGCTTTTGTGGGTAAAAAAAACACTTCAGATGCATGGAGTGAAAATTACAGATACAGGCATAAATATACTGGCACATGAAGAGAAGGGAGTTACCTCACAAGTGGAGAACCAGTGATGACAAGCCAATTCAGTCTTTAAGGTGCCACCAGACTCCTCATTGTTTTTGTGGATAGAGACTAACAGGCTACCCCTCTGATACTAATCATAGACTAGACAGCTAAGATCAAACAGCATAAACAGAAAAGGTTAACTTACCAATCCTGGAACATCAGGCCTGCCCACCCACAGTGGTATGCATTACAGCAGTTTCAATGGACTTTTATAGACAGGATATTTATCCCACATTACAATTTGTGGCAAGTGACATGACTGGTACCATTCAATCATTGACAAAGGTCAATCTTGTTGCCAATGGCTTATATATTACATTTGCTCTAAATTTCCAGCATAACAAAGTATCACAACAGTGTAACCTTTTAACTGCAGAGTTTAGCGTGGGTTTAAAACAAGAGTTTTAACCAATTAAACATTAAGTTTATATACCTAACTAATATTAGGTAACTTTATAACTAATATTCCCTAGGCACCTGTGAGACATGCTATGTTTCCCATATGATCAGAGTTAAACACAAATGTGTTTTTTTGCAAAGCACAGCTAATCATAAAGTATAAAAAATGTAAACAGCAGGAAAAAAATAGGTTATAACCTTAAGATATATTTTCTGGACTATAAGCAATATAAAAGCTGCTTCCTAATAACTCTTTATTGTCTCTCTTAACCTGACTTTGCAAAGCTTCCTGGGGAATTTTGCTTGACACTTCTTTAGCATAGTCATGAGAAATGCTTAGGTTTTAGGCCAACATGACAACCCTATTCTGTTTAATTCTAATTTAAGTTCAATTTGACCATATTCACATCACATCCATTCTTATTTGCCTACTGCAAATATTTGTGCAAGCATTTGTTTGCACCAATATTAAGGGGAAACTCATGACCATGCAAATGTTTTTATAGGAATATTTGTGTTTTCCTGCTTACTCCTGGGAGAATGCATATGTGCATTGGAAGGGCTCCTGTTGCCATCCTAATTTTCTTTCTTTCTTTCTTTCTTTCTTTCTTTCAGATTGAAGGTACAAGGAGGGAGAGAGAGAGAGAGAGAAAATGACTGTAGTGAATTAGAAAATGGAGACCAGTAATTTGATCAGTGCTCTTGGAGTAGGCCACAACACAGCAGTGGGATAGTATTCAGGAAAGCCTTGATCACAGCCCTGACACTGATTCAATTTTAGTCAAATAAGAAAGTCAGAAATGTGTGCCCACCCCCTCCCTTTGCAGCTAGACCTAGTCACTCACACATGAGGCCAGAGTCTCAACTGGTGCAAACTGGCATAGTGCCAATGGAGTTGCACTGATTTACACCAGCTGAGGATCTGGCCCATTATATCTAAATTGTTTGAGAGAGTTACTGTGGTGAATGGTGGCAGCTGAGAGAAAAGTGAGTAAATTCATTCACTGTACTTGTATTGGACCAGTGGGACATTGTTCACAATACTCCTGCCCAGAAGCCTGGCCCTGAGAGCCAACTAAGACATTTCATACAGACCATTACACAGCTGCTAGGGCTTTGATCCTGCAAGTCCTTGCATGATTTAGAGCAGACTGTGCAAGGCTGCTGCATTTCAACACAATTGTTAGTGTTGCACTGTTTCCTTACAGACACAAATAAGTTTTATAGCCTTTGGTGGTACAGAAAACACTCACCAGAGCTGACTTTAGGATACAATTACAGGTGGGTGTTTGACATGTGCATAGGAAAAAAGATGGGAAGAAACAAAATGAGATAAAGCTAGGGCCTGAAATGTGCTGGATGATCATGATGGTCCCTTCTGGCCTCAAGTCTATGAGTCTATTAGCAGCAGTTTGGGAATTCCCAGCTAGAGCTGTATTTCATTTTTTAATTCTCTTCCTGCTCAGTGCAACAGCAGATTCACCTGTTTTCAGGGAGTGGCTTCGAAGTGAGCAAATCATTGAAACCAGAGTCAACCAGACGGACGATTGTTACTGAAAAGTCAATAAGATCAACCCAAACCTTTCAGCCCTACCTTGTAAGCAAGCAAACTAAGTAAACCCACCTCAGGTATAATACACGTACACTGTCATGAACAAATACATGGACACAGTCACTAATAGGTACAATCTTAGGCATTTGCATTCCCAGTTACACATAAGCACTCACACAAATAAATACATGAATTTGGTCCCCCATTCAGACACACATGCAGATCCACACAAAAAAAATGCACATTTACACTTACACACATATGCACACCCAGAGACATGTCTGTGCGCACAGACCTGTATCTATGCACAGATGTGCTTGTACGGTCACAAAGGTGCTCAGAGCCAAACAAATTCACACAAGCATCTTAGACACGAAGGCTGTATCTACACCGGCCCTTTCTCTGAAAAAAAAATCCCATTGTTGCTAATACTGGTACACTCCATCAGCAATAGCTGTGGCAGGAGCATTAATACAGGAAGTTGTCATTTTAATTGCTGTGTTGTCTATCCATGATCAGGGCAGGTCTACGCAAGCTGGTGATAAAATAGCTGGCAGCGACCAGCACCTTATTTGCACTGGCACTCCCACTGTTGCTCCTTTTGGTGGAACTGCACTTCTGTTAGCAATGGAAAGAATTTTTTTCAGTCAAAGGCTAGTTTAGACAAGCCCATTCACACAACAGCCCCTCCAGCAAAATTGAACCAAGTGGGGGCGAAATCCAGGACACCATCCCATTTAAAACAAAATTATAATAATCTTCTGAAATACTTTTCAGTGTTATTTTCAATGTAAAGCACAAATTGATTCTAGTAACACTTGGCACTTTACATGGGCCACTCTTCTGATCTGCAATATAGCAATTCTTGTGTGCTAGGATCCCAGCTTTGAAGTGCAGCACGAATATTAACTGATTGATCACAAAGCCCCTGTTTGGTAGATAAGTATTATTATCCCCCTTTTACAGCCATGGGAACAGAGAAGGTTATATGGAATTTAACCTTTCCCAATTCCCAGTTCCATTCTAAATACACTCTTTGCTAATTAATTGTGTAACAAGCATGAAACTGTATCCAGAGGCATGAAGTGTTCAACTTACGTGGTGTTTAAAAAGAGTTTAAGCAAATGAATTCCTGAGGGGACTGGCTGGCTTAGCACATTTGCTACCAGGCTATAGAGACTTGCACTTTTCAGTAGACAAAGTGAACCCAGCTCAGCTCAGTTCAGTATTGACTGAAAGGTGTTACCATCGGATAGTTTTTGGGTGGTCTGTATAAAATGTTTTGGTAGATCTCAGTCCAGTTC